TCTAAATGCATCTTTAAAACCGGCATCATTTCATGCATTAACTGAAACAGTAATTACAGATTCACAGCAGGCTAAATAAATGCATTATTCAGCCTCTTTTATTGTCTTTTGAGAGGTTGCCCTGTTTAAATTATTCATGCATATCTGACACAAACTCATACATGTGCATTGATCTTAGAGGGACCCCTCAAAAGAATGTTGAAGCACTGATCCCACTGTTTATAAATGCATGTATTGTTTAAAGTCTGCATATTATAGTGAAGGAAGAAGAGCATTTATTCTTTCTCTCTAAAGGAGTTTGGCGTTCCCTTCATGGAGACCAGTGCTAAATCAGGCCTGAATGTGGAGTTGGCCTTCACTGCTGTGGCCAAGTAAGTCACTCATTTTCAGACCGAATCTGTGCATTTTCCCCACTGAGAATCTGCAGAATGGATTTATACCTGGTAACGTGTTGTAAATGGAGCTGAGAGAACCACACTCTTACTGACAGCTGAAAGCATGAACAAATTAGCACAACTATCTAATAAAGGAACATTTGTGATGGGGATGTGATTCTAAAATCAGGACATCACACGTTCTGTATGTGGCGCTCGTATGTGCTGATTCATCAAAGACAGTTTTCAGACACATAACCTTAGCAAAAGCATAGCAACACACTAAAACACCAATGCAACTGCATGGCAACGCATTAAAAACCACTCAGAACACTTTAGCAACAGCATGGCAACACACTAAAACACCATAGCAACCACATAGCAATGCATTATAAAGCACCCAGAATACCTTAGTGACAGCATAGCAACACATTAAAAACCATGCAGAATGCCATAGGAACCGCAAAACAACACATTACAAATTACAACACACTAAAACTCCATAGCAACCGCATGGCAACACATCATAAAACAAATCTGTTGTAAAAAACACAGAGGGCTGAATTCACTAAATACATTCGAGCCACTTTTGCACACAGTATCAGCACAAATTTCTAGATGCATCCTATTCATTATTCATCTAATTTAACCAATTTATACCAGCTAAAAATTAATTAACTTTTATGCATTTAGCAGTTACTTTTATCTGAAGCATCTTACAATATGCATTATGTTTAATGATAATTTGTGCCTTTATTTTGTAAGGAAAACACATGTTCAGTTTCTGTCTAAATAATCATTGTGTAGAGCTACAGTATACGAGCATTTCAATTCAGCATGCCTTTATGTAAATGATTTTATGCATCTTATTGCATCTTATTTATAAACTTAATACTGTTCGCCTGGTGCAGTTAGTGCGGGTTAGATTATGTACAAATTGTCATATTTTACTCATTCCAAATTGCATGACAAAAATTGTAGTTAGTAATGTAATGCATTACATACATAAAAAAGTAACTGTAGTCTGATTACGAGTATTTTAAAATGTAATATAATCTAATTACAAGTACTTATCTGATTACATGATCCAGATTTACTAGTACTGGGTGCAATTAATGTTGCACTCGGGGGGGATTTGTTTTACGTTTTTGTTGCAGGCATAATCCAGTTTATTAAACTGCATCTTATTGACAAACATGCATTCCTGCAGCACAAACTGTTAAACATGGTGCAAGTAAATGCCAAGATCATGGGTTTGATTCCCACCGAATGCATGGACTGATAAAAAGTTTACAACATGAATGCAATTAAAGTCGCTTTGGATGAAAGCGTCTGCAAAATGCATAATTATAAATCCTCCACAACTCTTACAACTGACCCGTAAATTGGGGTTTTGCACAGTGCAAATTGCATTTTAATGTAATAATAAGTTCATAATGCATCAAATAATGTTGAACTAAATTCAAGGTGTTTTTGTTCAAATATATGAAAATATTTTAAAATAATAATATATTTGTTAAAATAGTGATTCCTGTGTAAACATGTGTTCAGTGTTAATTTGGGGGTGTGTTTGCGCAGTTAACAGATTTGCATAATTCCTTCATTGAATCCTGTGCTAAATAGCACAGACAGCATGTGCAAATAAACACAGCAATCAGCAGGCGCAGGTTGTTTGAGTTCAGAGAGGAAACTGATGTCTCCCTCCCCGTCTCTCAGGGAACTGAAGCACAGGGAGATGAAGGAGCCTAACGAGCCAAAGTTTCAGCTGCAGGAGTATGTTAACAAGGAGATGAAGGGAGTCGGCTGCTGTCGCTCCTAAACCCCCCTCTCTCTCTGTTTGTGTGTTTTTCCACTTTCATCCTCTTCTCTCGCATAAATTGGATGCCTGTCAGATATTCTGCGGCTCTGGAGACTTTCATTTTCAAATGCTGTGCTCGTTCTTTGGACCTCCATGCACTTCACAGCTCACAAACAATAGCGAATGACACGAAGCAAACAGAGAAGCAGTCATCAGAATGCGATTGGCACGTCCTTAAATATTTGCACCCCCAATAAACACAGACCCACCTCTCCGAGCAGCTGTGAATGTATGTTCAACACTCATGAAGTTTGCTTTTATTACATGAAAAAATCATTCAGTAGTTAGATGTACTTTTCTGTGACAGCTTCAATTGAACCCAATCATACACCACTTTCACTGTTAAAAATACCCACAAGTGTGTCATAAGCACGGCTGTTCAGCACAGAGATAATTATAAGTGTAAAATCATAATTAACAAAGACTTGCCTTATCATAACATGGTGTTTTCTGTGGTTTCAGTCTCATTCTGTAAACGTCTTGATGCAGTTTGTGGAAAAGTTTTTAAATTACTTTAGTGAGATGATTAATCTTTTCTTTTAAATGTTCTTTTATTTATTCAATGAGACAGGTGGCTTTTCTTGATTTGTTTGAGCTAACCCTCAATTAAAAGAACATGCTGATTTTTTTATTATCTTATATTATCTTTCTGTTTTTGAAGCATAGATCATGATAGCTGTAAACTTTTTTATTGTGTCTCTTTAAGGTTAAATTTGCCAGACTGTCTCTATTTTATGTACAGTTTGACAATTTATCTTTTTTTGTGTGCAAACCATCACACATTAATCTAAAGTCCAAAGCTGATCGAGGCTAAGGAAGCTGGTTTCTGCCACGAGATATATATATACAGTATATATAATTGAATTGTGTGATATAAACTTGCAGTTCTGAGAAGAAAAGGCCAAATTGTGAGATATGAACTTGCAGTTACAAGAAAAAAAGTCTGAATTCTGAGCTAAAAAGTCGAAATTACCTTTTTTTTTCATGGTGCAAGCAAAAAAAAAAAAACAGAAATGAGAAATGTAAACGAAAGAATTCGTAGGCAAAAAAAAAACCTTCAACTGCGAGATATGAAGATTTGTCCAATTAAAAAGTCGCAATTACCTTTTTATTCTTATTCTGTGGCGGAAACGTTAAATGTTTTAACAGACGGAAAATTTGATTAAGTTTGTCAAAAGAAGTCGCTTTTTTACACTTGCATATTCATGTCATATTCTCTCCATTTTTTTCATTGTTATTTGTCAATGTCTTTTCATAAAATATGAACTAATATGAAAGATGTATGTATTGTACATATGAAAAATATCATATGGCACTTACAGTAGTTTGCATAACATATAATTAATGTTTTGTTAAATGCCTTTAAATTTAGTATGGTCCTGTACGCTAAATATATAGAAAGCTTTCATTAGAATTAGTAGTGATGTTCAGAATGTGCTTGAATTTAATGTCAGATATTGCACGTACTGTGGATTGTTTAATATATCGTGCTGTACAAATATTTTCATTTGAAGAGTTTTCAGTACTTTGACTTTTGCACTTTTGTTCTTGTTGTTTTTCTGTTGTTGTTGATATTTTTTATATGTGTCCCTGCAGCACAAAAGCAGTGTTGAGTCGCTGGGGGATATTTGTAGCAATAGCCAACAATACATTGTATGGGTCACAATTATACATTTCTCTTTTATGCCAAAAATCATTAGGATATTAAGTAAAGATCATGTTCCATGAAGATATTTAGTAAATGTCCTACCGTAAATATATCAAAACTTAATGTTTGATTAGTAATATGCATTGCTAAGAACTTCATTTGAACAACTTTAAAGATGATTTTCTCAATATTTAGATTTTTTTGCACCCTCAGATTCCAGATTTTCAAATAGTTGTATCTCAGCCAAATATTGTCCGATCCTAACAAACCATACATCAATGGAAAGTATAATCCATAATAACGCTTCCTTCCTGGCAGTAATCTTGCCACTAAGAGCAAAGGATGAGTCTGGTGACACGATAGAGACACTATTACCGGTCAGTTGCCCTGCAGGTCAAGGTCAAGCTCACTTTTATATGGTCATCATGTGTTCTTTTAAACGCTGCCGTCGCCATGACCTTCTCTGTCGTTCAGCTTGGATGATGGATGAAGCACATTTAATCAGAGATGTTTTCTGCTGTTTGTACTGGGTTTCACGAACACGTCACGCAGAAGAAATGATCTCCGAGCTGGTCATCAAGATATCGTCATCAGGGTCACAGTGCCGTGGCTGATGGAGGGATGTTTGTGTTCTCCTCATACAGCAAACCCTATTCCTTTATCTGAGTGCTTGATGGGAATGTTGTTGTTACAGGAAACTATTATTATTATTATTCAATTACGATAAGCATTTCTGTTCATGTAGACTCATGTATAAACGCCTTTCTCGCCGTGCTGTTCAAGGGAAAAAAAATGCGTATTTGATGATAAATTTAGAAAACATCAAGGCAATGAGAGCTCTTAAAGGACAGTTCACCCAAAAATAAACATTCTGTCATCATTTATTCACCTTGACATCATTCCAAAACCTGAAGGACTTTCAACAAAACACCAAAGAACATATTTTAATACACTTCTATTTTTCTAGCCATGCAATGAAAATCAATGGGGCCCATTGTTGCTTGTCCACAGTTTTTGGATGAATTATCTATTTAAAAGTTTTAGGAAAATAAATAAAAACAAGAAAACAAACAATTGAATTAATGCAAATCATCTACATTTACCATATCAAAGTGCAAGAACTTGTAAAGTAAGATTTATGATGCAAGATATTGCTGATTCAAATCCTCAGAGCTTTTATCAGATTTCAAGGGCTTTCTGACACGGTTTCTGGTGGCCTGTGAGCTCTGACCTGACCTTTGACCCTACTTCTGTAATGCCTTCACTGTAATGTGCTGCAGTTAGATGCGTCACCCCTTTCCTTGCTTAAAAACATAACTCGAACCAATCAGGTTGGTGGTGGTTAGTTGATGCTCCAGTTAAATTAATCTGGTCAGGTTGGTCTGTTTTGCAGGTTTTAAAGGGGTTTATGGACTGGTTTAAGCTGTTGTTTTTTCCCATCAGGGTTGGTAACAGCATTACCCATGATAAATAAACGAGGTCATTGTGAGACTGTTGTGTAGTAACTAGCCCTCTGTTTATTTGGGTGATTTAATTATTTTTTTTTAAATACAGTTAGTGATGACTGTGATATTTCAGGTAAACACAGGAGGGCAGTGTTGCTCAATAATCCCAGTTGTCCTTGAACTACTACCTCTAATGTAAGACAGGCCCAGAAATACTGTATGCACTTACAGCTGAAGACAGGAGAGCTCTTGAAAGACTAGAAGGTACTAGACAGTGAAGACATTTATAATGATACAAAAGTTTCTATTTGAAATAAATGCTGTTCTTTTGAACTTTCTATTCATCTGTGAATCCTGAAAAATAAAATGGATCACAGTTTCCACAAAAATATTGTGCAGCACGACTGTTTTCAACACTGATAATAATCAGAAATGTTTCTAATAATCAGCATATTATAGTGATTTCTGAAGATCATGTGACACTGAAGACTGGAGGAATGATGCTGAAAATACAGCTGCACATCACAGAAATATATTACAGTTTAACACAGATTCACATAGAAAACATCTATTTTGAATTTTTAAAAATATTACTGATTTTATGGTATTTTTGATCAAATAAATGTAGCTTTCGACTTTAAAAACATAAACAAATCTTACAGACCCTGAAATTTGGAACACAAAAAATAGTCAAGTTGGGTTTGATTACAGTTACATTTACTCACACACTCACACACACAGTTCACTGACAAGCTACGCAATATTGCGTTCATAATCGCAGGCGATTCATTGCCGTTTGGTGTGTGTCCTGTGCATGTGTGTCTGTCGGACTGGTGCTGGCTTTGTTTATTTGCTCAGGTTGATGAGGAGGAGGTCTTATCTACATCTCCATAACACACCACTGTTTGCCTTTCCTCTGATCACGTGCGCTTTGTTTTTATTCCTCACACACACATGTGCATTAAAGTCAGCGACTGCGAATGCAGAAATAGATAAGAAAGCTCTTGCACGTTTCTTCTGCTCATATGTGTGTTTGTTACAAAAGATCAGTGCTGTGATGATGCTCAGTGTGTTACTATACGTTTGCTATGGCGTTCTGGATAGTTGTAAGTTTGCAAAGGGGCGGAAAATTTCCAGTACATTTCCAGAAACCTTCGGAAAGTGTCTGAAAAGTTTCCAAAAAAAAAATCCTGGAAAGTTTCTGGAAATGTACCAGAAATGTTCTACCTCTGCATCCCTAGTTGCTAGGATGTTGCTTACTGGCCTGAGGCAACAGTGCTATTTAAATGCCTACTTTAAAGTGATCTTAGCTGTTCGCTGGTGCAGAAGGTTAATTATTACAAACACTGCCTCATAATCTCATCATCTAACATAGCTAATATTGCTTGCTTATATAAACAAACCCTTCTGAAGGCGGTTTGCTGGTCTTAATTGATTTAACTGGCCTCTAAAACCATCGAAACAGACCATATAACCATCTTAGATTGGTTTAATCTTAACAGGCTCATTTGAACTGGTCTCCAGGTGCTTCATCTTTTCCATCCCACCAGTTTGTATCTTTGACTTCCCGTGAGCGCTCAGGTTTTCACCAAAAACACACAGAGAGATTCCACATCACATATTTCCTCTCCATTATTCGGCGTGAGTAAAGGTCATCACTCTCAGTGGAACGAGTCGCTGAGAATATTTGTTTTTCCAACGCAATCAAACAGCAATGCGCTCAGTGAAAATACATGATTCATCTAAAGGACTTTAAATGGACATGCACTCATAGACATTCACAGAGTCACATGAGATGATTATTTCAGCACCATATTTATTTGACACCGGTTTCCCTCAGTGAAGTTTCAGTGTCAAAGGTCAGGTTAAGCAGACTTAATTTCCTCCTGTGTGCTGCCAGTAAAATCACAAGGACAGGCTCTATAGCCATACATCATGCTAAATTGAAACTGTATTTTATTCACACACTTGCTGTTTAGTTAAATGCATTTGCTCACTGATGCACAGAAAGGTTTGACAGACTAGACATTTGTATTTTAATGACATGAACTGAACACGATTTATAAAGTTTTAAATATGGATATTTTTCTTGTGCATCAATTCGCTTCAGGAGGTCTTTATTAACCCCACAGAGGCACTTTTTAAGATGGATGGATGCACT